GGGGAAAGGTGATAACAGATAAATGTTGTACTAAATATCCCAAACAAAAGAAAATGTCGCCTAAATTCCTATTATTCTTGCCCATGTAAACAAGCTGTGACGTCATAATGTTTTAGGTCAATTAAGCCAGCTTTGACAGTAACAAAAGATTAACTACCTGAGTTTTCATTGTTTGTTTGACTGYAGGGCCCAACTTGTACTACATCACCACTATTTCCTGGTGCCCTTCGATCTGCAATTTTATCAAGATATGCATGTTATCAGAAATAAATCAAACTTCTGATYTATTTTATTTTGGGTGTGTTTTTATGCAATAACAACTTGATTGACATCTGTTATTAAGTGGTACCACTAGTAAGTATTTGTAATTTTTATTGTATATTAATAATGCAAATTTTTAAATCCACAAGACAGTCTTTGGAGGAATTTCAAAATCAAATAATATAGAGAAGTACATCTCAGTATCTGACATTTAGCACATCTTTTAAAACAAACAAACCTTCATAATTCTTTAGGGTGGGGGATAGGGGGCAGGAAGAAAAGTAGGGATTATAAAAAGTACCATCTGACTGTTGCTTGTTGCTTTGACWATCACCAGTATCTGCACCACTGCTTCTGGCTGCACTTTCATCTATTAACCAATCATTTATTTATCAGTATCACACTAATTCACCTAATTATGATACATAGGTAATTAAGTATGTACTTTATAAACATGCATATTTTGTATACCTGTATCTTGATTTCTACTAGGACCTGGCCCTGTTGCATTGTCACAGACACTTGCACTTGGCCTTGCATCTGGAACTAATTGTAAATTTAATATATATATTATTATAGCCAGCTGAGGATTTATTGTCACTTTATAATGACATCTTGCTGACAATCCATAAACCTTTCAATTGGTCCAATTTTTAAAAAAATTCATCACACAAATTAAACACTGCTGCTTTGAAAACCTCATTAAAATGTACACTTTTATTAAACTATATATCTAGCTAGTACTTCAATCAATCAATTAATTCACAACTTTATTGCCATTTATAAAATATTTAAGGTATAATGTGTTCCAATATCGTGTTGGTTAGTTACTTCTAGCAGGAGTAATCACACATGTGTATAGCAGTACACGAGCTTTTTTAATCAAGACTCAGTAATGACTAACAAAGGTTACATTGATAACCGGATATATGCATACGTCATATGTGTACATATAAGATTACATAATGCAACATAATGAGTGTGCTTATTGGCTGCCAGAGGACAGAGACACGCTCACACAAAATTGTTCAAAATATTTTATGAATTCAAAGCAATATAAAATGGCTGCTTTTGTCTCTGTAGTGTGATAAAAACACTGCAGGAGCTGTAGAGCACTCAAAAGCCAAGAGAGACATGAGGCTACACCTTGTGTTCTTGAGCTTGCTTCTCTCATGCTCTATGACAGCTCCCAGCTTGTTTATATCACAGTACAGAGACATGTACACATGTTTTATTTCCCTTAGCTATAATAAAAAAGTTTTTACAAACAAGATACAGAAAAGGTTACAGATTAAAGTAAAAGTTACTAAAAAATGACTAAAAAGCTTATCGAGCTAYGTATAACTTCTTTATATCTTTGTAAAAAAATCTTTTTTATAATTATCTAGTATGGCAATAATTTAATAAATTTTGAGATTGATTGATTGATTTAAGTTAATGGTGATTGATTGAAGTACTATAGCTAGATAGAGCGCTAAAAAAACATCCAAACGGTTAACAATAAAGTTGGAAGAAGAATACAGAAAAATAAATACAGGAAAGCTGGGGTGGGGGGTGGGGGTGGGGAACAAAATGCTAAGGATGAAATGACAATTTGAAGAAGATAATAGTTTGAAAGGTGAGGATTTTAAAAGACATCATGGTTTTTCATTATCTGCCAAATACTGGTAAGTAATTCTAAATAGTTTTTATCATTATTTCGTATTTTGCTATTTTAAACTAAATACAAACCAAAGGCAGGTTTGTCTCTGTCCCCCTCCCTCCCTGCTGGATAGATTTTTGTTTTTTTCTTGGAGTATTTGTTTCCTCTCTCCCCACTTTTAATCCTTTTATCCAACTCATTAAAATATTACTTAACTTATTCTATACAATGTCAGCCTTATAAATACTTTTCTTTTCTTGTTGCACACTTTTCTGTCAAGTTGCAAACATGCATTTCAAGTGTCTTGCATTACYCATGGTAGAMAAAGAAATTTAACATGAAAGGCAAGTCACATTGCTGATAGAGACCACACTAATATACCTCCCTTAATTGCCCTTTTTCACTATGATATCATTGCTTGTTTATGTGGGGGATAGAATCGCCAAATCCAATAGAAAATTCAACAAAATTTGCTCCTAGCGAAACAGTTTAATCTAAAATGGCCTGGTTTTCAGAYATAATATGTGTTAATATGTACTGAAAAATATTCTGAGTGTTTGCTGGCTATTCTACTCCTCTTCCTGGATTGATACGGGTTTTAGAACAATTTTCGGTGAATTTGCGTTGATTTGACCCCCTCCCAYGACCATGATCCTTTGCGTTTAAACAATAGATTGTTTTGATGTGAYGTCATAGTGAAATAGGGCAATTTCTTACTCCCACAGATTGCAAAGTGAAGCTTATAATTCTGGAAATTTTTTTTTTTTTTGGGGGGGGGGGGGCACTTTGACAATTATAATGAATGTTGCAATATTTTACTGATTTTTGAACTAAGGAATTCAAAATTGTCTTATTAACAACTTGACAGTGATATACCAGCTAGGGAGTTCAAACTAAAAACCGTTTCTTGATAACATCAATAGTTAAGATAATTATAAAATTCAATCAGTCAATCAGAAAATGGTGGGATTTTGGTCTAAAATTATTATGTATGTATGCTTTGATCATTGAAATTCAGGGGGCATCTCCTAAATATTTGAATTATTTTTTTAAGCAAAACGTTTTAAAATGTCATGTATATTAATGAATAAATCTCTACTAATACCTTTAAACATGCCTCCCTKTAAAAAAATTGGACTGAGTATTGGATTTCCTTTAGAGTTRTCATTACTGCCAAGAACACCAACAACTTTATTCCCTCCTTGGTCAGATTGATAAATAAYTGGTGCACCTTTCGCTCTCGCCTCATCAAAGCCTTGCTTGCTTTTATTAGTCAGCATGTATGTTCCTCCTTGGTTTACAAACTGCAGCTCTATTATCTCTTGATCTTCAAATACATATGCAGACAGTTTCTTGATTTTCTTTTTCTCTTCTTCTGAAAGGGATGTATAGCATAGGAAACTACGGTCCGAGTTACCTCCTTCATACAATGCAYTGCTAATATCCATAGTTTCATGATGCTTAATCAGGGTCACTTTTTTAAGTTGGTTCTTTTTCTTGGACTTAGGAAAGARGGATGACTTAGATTTAGGAAGATATTCATCAACAAAAAAATTATCTTCTTCATGTTGTTTYGTGTCTTGTGGAAAGACGCCAGAACATGTTAACAAAACTGGTGCTGAATCATCTTTAGTTTCTTTCAATTTAGCAGCAAAACCCATCTCTAAATCTTCATTTTTATCGTTGTCTTTCAAAATTATCCTGACTAAGGCTTTCTTTTCGTTATCGTTCAAGGGACCCATAACAAGATAAACCTGGAATATTAAAGAACTTGCCAGATGCGGAAGAACGAACGGATTGAGAAAACGAAAAGAGGCTATTTCTATAAAACGACATCCCGAAAATGACGTCACCTTCGTGTTCCCGACGGAATGATTGTCTCACAGGTAGCCCAAGCTTGGTTTCTGTGGTGTCCTGTTATAAGGAAATGTATGGAGATTCATCAAAAACTTCAATAAAATCATTGAAACGTGAAATAAAGCCTCGAAATCTTACCCGATCATTGAGAAATAGCACTTCTTTCGCTCTGCGTGGTTATTTTTTGAATTTAGCCCGTTTTAAGATTTTTTTCCCCACCAGTAAGAAATATTTTAATATCTTATTTCTTACTGGTGGGGGAAAAAATCTTAAAACGGGCTAAATTCAAAGAATAACCACGCAGAGCGAAAGAAGTGCTATTATTTAATGATCGGGTAAGATTTCGAGGCTTTATTTCACATCTCAATGATTTTATTGAAGTTTTTGATGAATCTCCATACATTTCCTTATAACAGGACACCACAGAAACCAAGCTTGGGCTACCTGTGATTGTCTCGATAGTGAAGCTACCGGAAATCATGCCGTGTTGAAGTCGTGTTGAAGCCGTTTGTTGAGTGTTTGAACGTGTAAATCGTGATTAATTTTTAAATAAAAATAAGAATCTCTCAATAATGTCGTACCTTCTGTTATTAAAATCGTTTTATAGCCATTAATTGARAGAAGCAACAATGTCAGCCTGATTCACGCGAAGTAATGTAAACAAACTTATGAACACTATTTCGC